TTTTGTGAAAGATACATAGAAATTCGACTGAAATTCATGTATCTCGATTCTCTCAGATTCGCTAATCTTAATTTTAAAGTCTGGAACTTTTATCTGCTTACTTTTCTCAGCCGTTAGATCCAAATCGAATCTTGTCTTTTTATTTTCGCCACCCTCGGCTGTTTTAGGCTTAGGACCTCTTTTCTTATTATTTTTTTTTCAAAATCAAAATCAAATTCTACAATTAGTTTATAAAAAAATTATAATCTAAATTAAGGTAGGTATTATTATTAAAATAAAAATCACTTACCAATGTCCGACATGATTTTCTTTTAGATGAGTGAAGTTCTTGGTAGAAAAGCTGGTTGATGAGTGACGTTATTGGTAGAAAAGTTGGTCAATGAGTGAAGTTCTGGAAAAATTCACTCGCTTTTATCCTCAGCTACTGACCTACAAACCCTGTTTGTTTTCTTTGTGCTGTCTTCTAAGAGTTCAGCTGTGCTGTCTTTGAAGGTCATGGGAACACAGCAGTTTTTTGGTCTTTTAACTTGGGCACAGCTGTTTTCCCAAGCTGTTTTTTCGCAGGTGTTTTCATCTTCTAACTAGGGCACACCTGTTTTTCACAGGTGTTTTCGTCTAATAATTCCGTTAAGAAAATATATTATAACAGTTTTGTTTCTCTATACTAGCGATATTAGTAACATCATTGATGATATCATCAATGATTTTACTAATATCGCTAGTATAGAGGAAAATTAGAATAAACACGTAGTAAACTTATAATACGGTCTATAAAATTAGATTTATTTATTTATCGTTTTATTATATTACATACTGGTATGGTGAGGTCGGTTTCCATTATGAGTGAGATAATTTGCAGAAAAGTCATATACACGAAACTGGAAGATTTATTCTTTATTTTTTGTGTCTAATATAATGCAGATGAAATAATTAACTAATTATCGTTTCGTATGGCCTATAAGATGTAACTTTTCTCCAAAAATAAAGTTGATAAAATCTTCCTGCTTCTAGTGTGTCAAGTTGCGATCTGTTGTAGTGTAATGACATTCCCCAGTAACCTTCATTAGGCTATAGATAACCTGTACCTAGTTCAACTTTTGAAAGAAAATGTTATGTAATTTAACACATTATAAGTATATTATTGTTAGTATGTTATTATTTGTATAGGTAAGTAGCTTTTTCGAATATTTTAATGATAAATTTTAATTGTAAATGACTTCTTTTAAACTCCTCTTTACCTCTGATAAATAAAAGAGTGGCATTCTAACTTTACTTGTTTTTAAGCCAGAATACAGTAAAAACATAAGGCTAAGTGCCAAAGGTGCAGAATAATAAATAACATTTGTTCTTTGAATTAAATTTAGTGTAAATTAGAAAAAAGCTGCCAAGAGCTCTTACTGATCTTCCCGGCCTCGAACAAGAGGTTAAAGGTAACGAGAAGAATCTGTAGCGTCATCTATTATATGACCAAGGCCACTTGATCGCTTCGCTAGTAAGGCCGTCCGCCGTAAGGAAAATAGCCGTATTCACAATGTTTCCATTTTTTGCAGCTGCGAAAGATTTTGGCGCTAGTTATCGGTGAGAATCGTCTGTTGAGTAAATTGGTCGTTTTGTACTTTTGTGTGCGAGTATAGCTATTTTATGAAATTGTGATAATTACATATAGTTATAGTTGTATTTAGTTATACTTATTCGTGAGTTATATACGGTTGACGGGATTTCTCTTCAACAGCAGCTTGGTATATAGATATAAATACATTCATTGTGTGGTCAAACTGTGGAAAAAGTTCTCAGACTGCATCATAAGCCCATTTCTAGAAAAATATTAAAAGTCTAATGTTGTCTAATTCATATTGTAAATTTCTGATGAGGAGGAAGCTAAGTACATTTCTGGTCTTTGACTGAATTTTACAAACTGTAAAATTCAGTCAAAAACAGTGTACACTTTATTCAATAAATTAATTTTTCTTATGTAATAAGCTTTTGCTTTTTCTATAAAGAATTTTATTTATATTAGAGATGTAAACTGAAGCAATGTTACTTTTACCATAGTTATACTTTTAATTTCAACTTTAAAACAATATATGTTGCTTTTGTTCACATTTCTGTGTACTTCTCCAATATTAATTATAATAAGTTCGGAAATATGGTGATATTGAAGGTAACTTCAATATCACATATTTCCGTGCATATTTTTCGAAATTTTTTTACTAACTAAAAACTTTGCTTATTTTTGCAAAAAAATAAGCAAATTTTTTCGAAAGGTTATATCGGTATTTATTCTTACAGTCTTGATTAACAAAAGTAATAATTTTATAACAGATTTAATACACAACATTTTAATAATTATCATATATGGTCCGAAAATGTGAAAATTTTTATAGTAGACAGTGCATACTGTAGGTAACCTAGTTTTGCTAATTTTGCATACTTTTCGAGTAAAAAAAATATTTACATTAACGATTAACTACTGGTATCTTTAAGAATCGAAAAGAGATGATTAAATAGTATTAATGTGAAAAAGTTTGTATTTTCCATGCCAATAATACTCAGTTATTATTTCTTCCTAAAAACGTCTTATGAAAATAAAATTGTGAAAAATACTGTATTATTATTTCGTTTTTTTCACAAACTAGGGAACGTCGTTTGCAGCAGCTCATTTCTTGATTGTCAAAAGTTTTCAACCTCCTTTAATGAGAAAAATATTTAAATGCAGCGACTTCTCCAAACTCCTCTATACTCTCCACCTGAATCGCTGACGATGGATATCACCGATCGTCAGCGCCACAAGCGGAGAAAATATTAACTAGCGTCTATACTCTCGGTCTCATTGACAGAGATAGTTGGCGGACGGCCTTACTAGCGAAGCGATCAAGTGGCCTTGATATGACTGTATTTAAAAAATAATTTTTATATTAATTATTATTATAGAAAAGCAAAACGTTTAATTTTGAAGGTAGATATGGGTTCTAAAAAATTGTGGATGCCCGTAACGTGTAAAATTACGGTTTCCGGATTCCGGTTTCCTGGTTTCCGGATACGGATTACTGGTTTCCGGATACGGATTCCGGTTCCGCCCTGCAGGCCCCTTTGTTAGCGGAGCCGCTCTCCAGGGCACATCCCGTTTTTGAGCCGCCCTACGGGCCCCCGTCGGGATTTTCGCTTTATCGGTGACCCTGGGGCCCACTGTCCCGTTGGAAGAACCCCTTCGATCACAAGTAAACCAAAAATAGAAAATATGTAAACACGAACCATGCACCAGACTGTGTTCTTGTACGTCGTTTCATTTTTTTACACATACACACGCTTCTTGCACTTCTCAACCAAGTTTTTTGGTCGACGACAATGTAGCCCCTTTCCAACCCCCTAAAATCTCCATTTTTATTGTAAAAATCATCATTTAACCTTCAACAATGCAAACGACAATGTATTTCGTAACAACGATAACAACAATAAAAAAAGTAAATTAATTCTTCTATTCCACACAAATAACTTATATTTATTTATTTTTCATTTTCGTGGCCAAATTATGCAAAGATTAAGCAAAGATTACCTTCGACTTTATTCTCCCGCTACTTCTTTCAAACTTTACTCTATTACTTACATCTTACTAGTAAAATTTTATATAATGTCCTTTATATAGCAGCGTAGACTCAAAATTTGTATATATGTATAATTTTTGGCATAACACACACGGCATTTTTAATTTAAGTATCGTCTACACCGAAATATCACAGGACATTTTTCATTAACACGCTACTATTAAACAAAATGGAAACTCTACAAAGCTATTGAAGAAGAGTTGAAAAGTAAAATGCGTGCTTCGTCAAACACTTTTAGGATATTTTAAACTTTCCTACAGTTTATAAAAGTTTTCATTGCGTTAATATAAATTATATATTGATTGTGATGATTACTCTTCTATCGCCTACTTCTTTTAGACTGTGTTTCGGCCATTACGATTCTACTAACCGCGCATTTTACTTGTATTCTGAATAGGCAATATTTCTCTCTCCGGTGTTAGCTAGGTATGGATTATATAGTGCGACAGTCACCCTTAAGTTGCTGGATTGATTTGCCCACGTCGTTATTTCGTTGGTGGAAGCGCCTGTCGTTTTTACGCCCAGTGCGGAAAAACTTTAAATCACACTGTGGCGTTGCCCTATTTCGTCAATCGCTTTGGATAGTAACCACAGAGAAAATATACAGCTTAAATCAGCTTGTTTTCTTGTATTTAACAATGTAAGATACACCATTTAGAAGATTTAAAATAATATGATATCATATTAGATTATTTTTCCAGCTATAAATTTTAACTCTTATAGTGTGATATAAGTAAATGGAGATAACTTCGAAAAAGTCGAACACCGCAACTAGAGATATTCCCAACCAAATTCCTATAAAACCACCAATGTAGCTGAATAATTCGATTGACTGAATAAAAAATAAATTATATATTATTAGTAAGAAAATTGTATTATTTTATAAGTTTCGTAAGGTTATACTAACCTGAAATTTAGGTTTATATTCATGTATAATCAGTTCTGAATTCTTGAAAAATAAATTTAACACTGAGTACGGTTTACTGTAAGAAAAAAATAATAGAAATTTTAACTTTGAATCGATTTTCATGAAAAAAAAAATTATATTCGAATACCTTTTATGATGACTATGATTATGAATATCTTCAAAATAAAGCTTTTTAATAAACTAAATACTTTAAAATAAAATTTTTTTGATATTGACTCCATATACAGTTGGACCCCCTATAACACTGTTGGTTTTTCTGTTTTATATGAATTCCATGTTGTACGAGTCACTTAGATTTTACAAATACGTGAGCCGTTTACAGCCCGGCATACGTATTTATAAAATCTAAGTGACTCGTACAACATGGAATTCATATAAAACGGAAAAATCAACATTTTTATAGGGGGGTCGACTGGTATGTTCTTTATGTAATTTATTGTTTCTAAAATACTTAGAAAGTCAAAACTTACATGAAAGTTGTGTATTGGTAAATTTTGGATATCATATTCGAAAATAGTGAGACTTTAAAGAAATAAAATGACCATTACTCTATTAAAAGTAAATTATTTTTATAATGAAAGCTATATATTATTACAATGTGAAAAATACTTACATACAATCTCTTTGACATTCACTGTAACAAGACTCCACATTTGTTTCATTTAAACAACGATAGCTTTCTAAGAAATATAGAAAAAATAAAGTGGAAAAATGGTATATAATTTTTTTTTATATGTTTATGTTAATATAAGCGACACTTACCTAGTATGTCGCAAAATTTTTCATCAATAATAAAGGGATATTCTGGAGAAATGCATCCACAATTCTTTATCCAGAGTCTTTTTGTACATTCAAATAAACAACGCTGCGAAAATTTACATTAAAATATTTAAAAATTATACATAAAATTTAAATTATTTTTACACACAAAAGTTTTATCACTTACAGTACGAGATAATATTTTATCAAATGATACGTTGTCTGTCTTTCTGTATTGAGTACAATTGGTGCCATATGGTGCAGGTAGTAATGATTTCCTCAACTATAATATATATAATACTTGGACTAATTAACTACTTTTTTTTTTACTTTTAATAAAAACATTTATACTTACAGGTTTAAGTTGAATTATGTATCTATTTTTTGGATAGATCGGAAATCCGTTTTTAAATGGGTTAATGATATAGTCTTTAGAATGAATTGCCACCATAGCACCAAGTGGATAAGTTGGACAGAATATATCTGCTGGATTGAACTGTACGAAAATCTCTCCAACTGTACGTGAATCCTTCACTAAAATTAATATAAGTACGAGCAATTATTTATAGTAACATCGTAGGGTAAGGGTAACTGACCCCTATTCGAGCGTTACACACGTGGAGAAAACACGGAGGTGTATTTAGTTTTATCAGTGAGTAAAACATATTATAGAATTTATAATAATTTGTAAAAACGTAAATATTATACTGTATTTTAATTATAAATAGATGTATACTTACGATACAGATGTCCATCTACATGTTGTACAGTACTTTCAATAGTATAATTTTCAGAAAGAGGGTTTCCTAAATCTATTGAGTAACACGTCCGGTATTTTAAATTTACATCCAAAGCAATAGTACGAATAATATCATTTCTGAAAAACAATAATATCTAAAAGTAACAATACGTAATTAATTGTTAAAAACAAATAATAGAAATTCATAACCTTTCGAGTATTAATGGTAAAATATCTTCTGATCTGATACCAAATTCATTAATAATCGATCGCTGGTATTGAGCCATTTCATAGAAATAGTTACCAGGAAACTAAATGTGGAATAAAAGTTTTATGTAATTTAAAATAAAGTAATTTTAATAGACTAATCTATTGATACAATTACTGGTTTGGCTTTCGTGTGCCTACTGTTATAACACGTATTATTTCTTGTCTTTTTACCCCTTTCTACCGTCTTACATTATCACGTAGATCATATTTTTTGGTGGTTTTGGTTTATTTGTTTAAATATTTACCACTAAATCTTCTTCAGTAATATTGTGAATCTCACAAAAACGATGGAAGCGACCACAAAACATCTTCATATTCTTAAGTTTAGCACATTGTTTTGAAAATTGTCTGCAATAACTGCTACGTCGAATACTATAAATATATGTATAATAAAAATAAGTATGTGATCCAATTAAAATAATTGTTTTTAAACATAATTTATTATTCAATCAATACACTTATTTATAAAACTATTCTAATTTCATACATTAACTTAAACTGTACTTACGAATTCATGTCGCAAATTGTTACCATTGGTTTTGGTAGATCTTTAGTGTCTTTATGCTCTATTAAAACATTCAGAGTCGTTGGATATGTGAAAAAGAAAAGAAAAAATTCGGTTAATTGAATGATAAATCCAATTAAACACGCAATAAAAATGAATAGCTTTAAAATCATTCTTCTACAGTTTCGTTCTCTCGCAATTTGTGCAATTCCTGTCATTGTAACATTTTCTAGAAGTTCTCTAAGGCGTATAGGCTTACGTTTTTTCTTTCTCATTGGAATTTTTATGCATTCTATGCTCTCGTCTCCCATCTCAAAGAAATCAGACAAGAAAAACAAAGAGTTAATTATTAAGTTACAAAATACAGTAAAAATATAATAACAAAATCTTACCTTTTTTTTTACTTTTTTAGATGTAAACTCCTGTTTTCCATATAATATTTTGGAAGTTTCTCGACTATACTATGAAAATCATGAATCTATTTTATAAAAAATCACGGATATCCACATTTAAAAATAATAAAATAATCTGTAAGCTCAGTCAACCAGTTTTTGTTGATGAGTACTTGGCTTATAAAACGGAATTTCGGTTCGTGTGTTACTGGATAGGTGTGCAATTCCCAAATGCTTTCATCACGTTTGTTTCGTCACGTATCGTACAATATACGGCGCATTTTTACATTAACAAATAATGTACTTTATTTATAGAACATTAAATGTCTTTTCCTATAAATTTACTCTAATTATTTTTCTCTTTGTGAAAGCAAAGTTTCGTTATGTTTAATGAATAATTTATATATTTCTTCTCATAAACGTAATTTCTAGAAATTATAAATTGATTTTTAAAGGTAGATGTAGTTGTAAATCGGAAGACTAAGTTAACAATCAGCCGCTAAATTGGTGAGCGAAGTGAACGTGATTGAAATTTTAAATAAGTAGATCATTGTAACTGCGCTTTAGTTGTTGATAATAACTTAGATAAAACATGTAAAACTTTGGTAAATTATCTACAGATTTCAGTCACGTATTTCATAAAATATAATACACATAATATACATTTTTTTTCTAATAAGTTTTGGGAGTTTCATAAACAACAGCGGTTTTTCAATACTTTCCAACTACCTTGTAGATTTATTATGATAACACCTATATATTAATCAATGTTAATTTATCAACACTATATTATAATATTTTCAAACTCAAAATAGAAAGAAGTTTTATTAATAAATACAATAGTTTAATCCATAGTCGTTTAGTACATTTTTTAAAAGTTGCTAATGTATAACTACTTTGCATTTAGATAGTTAATTCTCTCTCTGGTGATTCGATATAGATAAATACAAATGACTTCCGAGAAATCACATACTGCAATTAGAGATATCCCCAGCCACATTCCGATATATCCACCGACGTAACCGAATAATTCACTGACTGAACAAAAACAAATGTTACAAATTGTTAAAAATAAAAACAAAAAAAAATATTTATATTCTACGATAAAAGTATTATCGTAGCCACAAGGACTTTTAATTAATTTACGTATTCGTAAACAGTGAAGAGCCTCAAAGGAAAAGACGGCTATGTTTATGTTAATTAATTGTGTCAATGTGCTTATGAATGATGTGTGTTTACATAGTATATTAAGAATAAAAGTTATCGCTAGTGAAGATTAAAGAAAAATTACTAATTTCATTAATTTTCAGTTATATTTTACATTTTTACAATAATGAATAGGTTAAATTATAAATTTTCTAAGAAACTTACTTACTTACATTCCTTCTGACATTCGTTGTAACAAGATGTCACATTTATTTCATTGGTAGAATAAAAATCAGCTAGAAAATATTAAATATTTAATGAAAATACTTGAATTAAATTTTCGAATTCGAGAAAAAAAATATTAGATACACTTACCGGTTGCATCGCAAAAGTGTTCATTTGTAAGAAAAGGATATTCGGTAGATACACATCCAAATTTTTCTTTTGCATTCATACAAGCAATGCTAAATGCCATAAAAGGCAAATAAATGAAACACTATTTGACATGCCATTACTTATAACAGTTATGTTACATAGTATATCTTACATCACGATTCGGTATCTTGTTCTTTTTGAATAATAAGTGCAGTTTGTACTGTAAGGAGCCGGCAATAACGATTTAATTTCCTAATAAATATGAATATAAATCTTGAATATCGGTGATAATATTTATTTTTTATTAGTGTTTTGTGTAAACACTTACTGTTTTCAATCGGACCATATACACACTTTCGGGTTGAACAAAAAATCCATTTATGAAAGGATTATCGATTGAATCTTTAGAATGAATCGATATCATAGCACCAATTTAATAATAAAGACATAATATATCTTCGGGGTTGAAATGTATAAAAATTGCACCAATGGAATTAATCTGGAACTAAATTTAAATATACGATTGCGATAAGAATAATGCATTACAGTACTTCATTACTTTTCAAGAATATAACTTCATATGTTTGCAATTGAATGAATCATTAGGAAATGCATAAATTGCCTTATAATCACAGCATTAGATATTCCTTAGTGAAGTTTCTGTTATGGTATCACAAATTAGGCCTATACATATTTTGCATCATTTTTTTGTATTTTCTTCTCTGCGAACACTAAGATAACTTTACAATCATCGTGGGCTCAGCAAGGCCAATAATGAAGTCGATTTTTTTTCATCTAAAATTTTTAAATTCACTTATAGAAGAATTACTTTTGCATGTGAGATGGTAAAATGTCTTCTAATCTAATACCAAATTGATCAAGAAATGATCTGTTGTATTGGACATGTCCAAGAAATGATTTGATGGAAACTGAAAGTAAATAAAAATTACTGATTAAAAATTTATGAAATTTTGTTAATATACTTTAGAAGTTATTTTTTTAATACTGGATTTTTATTAAGTATATTTATTGAAATTCAATTTAAACTTGTTAGTGACTTTCCACCAACATCATTTCACTCTTAAACCATCCACTATAAAGCTTTATACTAAAATAATAAAGCATTCTGAGTACATTGACCTAAAATATATCTTCAAATAGATAACGTGAGTCTCATAGACTCACTGTATTAGATGTCGTTGAGACCGGCAAAAAGTATTGTACTGTACATACTCCGATTGTGTTGTTTGAAAATATAACTCCTTTCTGCTAGTGTATTACTAAAGTTTCCAGTTACTGCTGCGAAATTACGTAAACTAAGTATTTGCAGCAAGTAAAAACTTGAAACGTATTTTGTAAGAACCTGAAAGGAATGATCAAGATTTAGATATAATGGTAAGTCCACGTGGTCTTTTATTTTAACTCGGCAAAAAACAATGTCAATTACGTAATATTATAAAACGTGCTTTATATATACCGGCTAGTCGTTCCTTGAGAACGATACTGTATACAATCAACATTCAATAAAGATTTATATGCCGTACGTGTATAAATAGGTTCAAATAGCATTTGTCGCATAATGTAATTCAAAGGAACAATAAAAAAGAACACGTTTTGTACTAATATTGCAGTTCAAAATAACAATAAAAGTTAATGATTTTACATTAAGTTTATCGTACTAAATGTGATTTGCAACATTTTCCAGTTTTCTAATTAATATAGCCTTCTGCCTTCTTTGGTTGGATTTTGACGCTTACTGTATAGGCCTATAGTGACAAGGCGAAGTATTGACTTCAATAAATCTTAAGCTAACCTATTCCTGTATTTGTTTTGTAAGAGATTCTAAATAATAAGCGTAATTCGAAGCAAACTCTATTTAATTTAAATACGTTACTGTCGAGTAGATAAAGCTGGAAGCAAATTACGTGATGTATGTAGCAAGGTCTATAGCGAATGACATATGGAAGAATATACATGCATTTATGAACAATGAAATCTGTGTAATAAAACGAAAGGTTTCATTATATACAGATAGTCTTAGAGAGGTTTTATGAAAGTTATATTTTAATGTATTCTGCATTACTTTTATTTACGAACATATAATACACATTCCACGCAGTAAATGGTAATTCGACAGATTACAGTAACAAGATCCGTATTATTATTGATTCTTAATACTGACTGTATTAGTCACGTATTAATCTATTTAAGTTCCGATTCCAGTAGCCGTTTATAATAACAAATAAGGTATGGATCCAGCAGACACTTATTAGTAACGATGCATATCTACAAAGTTTAGGTTAATTTAGTTTAATAGTTACCAGTAATTTTCGCACAAAAAATGTGGGTGTAGTTATGATACCTCGTTTACAATTTACTAAAATGAAAATGGGGTTCCATAATACCACTTTCTCCTATACATCTTTACTAAATAGTTAGCATAAATAGTTCAATTACTTGAAAGAGCAGAAATGAAATTAAAGAAAAATAAATAACAAACACTTAAAACGTGCATAAAACTAGTTTAATATTCTGAACTTTTGATAATTCGGAATTGTTTTGATTCCCCTTGTGATTTTCCTGCTGGATTGAAGAGAATCGATTGGAGATAATTAGAATGGTCAAGTAAACATGCTTATAGTGTCACACTTAAGGAGTTGTAATGTCGACAAAAGGTGGCTTTGTGCCACTTAACATTGCGATATTAATTTTGTTTTGACAATTTTCTATCTTCTTATTGTCAACAGGATAGGGCTTAGTCAATATGGCACCTTTAGCTAGAGCGCTACTGGAATCTGTCACCTATGCTCATGCATAATCTGTCATTAATTAGTCATAAAAAATTTAAACATTTATTTTTTATTTTACTATATCCGGAAACAGAACTACACAAGTAAAAAAGTTTTGGAATGATATGAGTGGAGTATAAGCACACTTATGCTTTATTTTCATCCATCCATACTGTTAATACTCTTCTTCTATTCAACCATATCAGCAGTCTTTCTTTTCAAAAAAATTTTTATCTTTTCATCTGACTTACTACACGAAACATTATATTATATAAGCCACTGTCAAATATTTGAAACTGTATGAAGACAAACTAATACTAAATTATTCAAGTACAGTAATTTTTAAACAAAAAACAAAATTAATAATTATATAATTCATTGAAAAATTTAATAATTATTTCGATAATTGTTTCGTTACTATTATTACAGAAACAATAAAAATGATTGTTGCATTCTAAGATTGTTTATTTCGGAATTTATTGTTTACAATGTCCTAGAACTGTTCCAGAATAATTTCGTACAGTAATTGTGCCCGGAAGCACGATTTTATCTGACGTGGAACCCAGGAACGAAAATCTAACAACTGTTAATATAGTTAAGTAAATTATATGACATTTTTTATTACAGAATTGCTATATATTTAGCAATAGATACACCACAAATTACACGCTCCATCTGACCCAGTTTGGAGTGCAATAAGCTGTCCTCGGCGCCAGGTAAGTATTAGTCCATCAATCAGCACGAATTTTAGACCCAGAAAGAAGTGAATGGACAAGTTCGATGAAGGCCCAAGAAAAAGGACTGACGATGTAACAGTGTTGTTTATGGAAAGATAAAAAGACATTGAAGTCTTTAGTTCATGACTTATCCTCCAGTGTATTAAGAGCGAAGAAGAAATAGCACGAATTTCATTATTTGAAGATTAAACGTTTTCATCAGTTTTATTACAACACATCCTTACAAACACCCCTCACGATAACATTCACAATTGAACCATTATCTAGTATGTTTATCGCATCCAATCATTTACATATCACGCTTCGTTACAGTAAATGACACCGTCACATAACACCAACACCGCTTCCCAAAATCCAACCCCTAGGTCCTCATCCTGGGAAGTGGAAACGTCACTCTATGTTTTCGATTGGCGACTAAAGAAACTCTGGTATTTTTTCCACAAATATGAAATAGACTTTTGTCTCCATCAAAATCCCCCAATACATATGTTCTTTGTATGTTACTATTATCAATAAAATAATTACGTTGTTCGGATAATTATATTATAATTATATACGTAAATATATATATATATGCAAATGATTAAATTATTAATACAAATTAAGATATTAAGAATTATCCTCGTATTGGAATTATTTTGATTTGCAAAAAAGAATCAACAGCAATGTCCATTTTGAAGTATTCTAAAAGTTATATTATAGACTATTGGCCTTGCCCTAACCGTTTGATACGATATGATATTTTTTAAAATATATGAAATACGTAGAATGTTTCTTAACGAAAACAGTCTTAAAATTCTTTCTGTTAGTAAAAATAACTAATTTTATTGGGATAGGAACCAGTATGAATCCCTAAGATTTCTCTGGACCCAAAAAAAACCCTAGCATTCCTTTCGACGGCCCTACATATAAGGTTATTTATATCTTCTAACGTTTCAGATGTCGGTATTTTGATAATTGTATTTATAATTGTTTAAATATTTGAAAACTTAAGTTTGTCCTTTAAGTTTTAAAAAGCGGGGTTTTTTCTTTTTTAATCCTGCTATTACTATATTAAATTGCCAAAGAGACTAATGACATTTTATACTTCCTGTATATTATTCTAGATTATAAGGTAGGAAACATATACAGGCCTATCTTGTTTTTTTCTAAACAACAGCTAACGTACAGTACATTTTTAATAACAACATTCTTTATTAGTCTGATAAATTAGTAATAAAATAACAGAATATAAATACAGCCTATATTTAGTTCATTAATGTTTTCAACTGAATAGATTAAATTAATTCGATTCCACATTAATGTAACTTCATTTGCTTAATTTTAATTTAACTTAACTTTAATTACACATAATTTATTTAACCTTAATTCCTTAACATTAATAATAGCAATAGCTACAAGGAAGAGAAGATTATTCAATTAAATATAACTAGGATTTTAAAGAAATTAGCTTGAATTTGTCACAAGATGACTCATTATTCTTTAAAATCTAACCAGTTAATTGAATGTTATTTAACAACGAATGAATTAAAATATACTATAAACATTATAAGGAGTTATATTTTGAAAATGGAAACAATATGAACTAAATATTAGGATAATAAAATAAATATTTACCATTAAATCTTCTTCTGTAATATTTTTTGAAATGAAAATCTGATCGAAATGTTTACAAAAATCTTCTCTGTCTTCTACCTTTGTACATTTGTTTGGAAAAGCGTGACAAAAATTTTTACGTCGAATTCTTTAAACAAATTTTATAATATTATATTCAATTAATACAGTTATTTATAATTATTAAATTAATGTAAAATAATTTCTTAAATACTAAATACTTACGAATTAACATCGCAAATGGTTATTGTTGGTTTCGGAAGTTGATTGATGTTTTTATGCTCGATGAAAATCTCCATAGTTGTTGGATATGTGAAATAAATAAGAAAAAACTGAGTTAATTGAATAATAAAACCAAATACGCAAGTAAAAAATATTACGATTTTAAAAATTTGCCTTATAAAAATTGTTCTGTAGCAATTTGAGGAATTCCTGTCATTATTGCATTTTTAAGAAGTTCTTTAAGATACAAATTCTGTTCTTTTTCTGTCGGATCTTTTACCCTTTCTATATTATTATCTGCCATGTCTGCTGGAGTAAATTATGCAAAGTAATACCAAGAGTAAAGTACAAGTCGACCCCCTTATAACACTGTTGATTATTCTGTTTTATATGAATTCCATGTTGTACGAGTCACTTAGATTTTACAAATACGTGTGCTGGGCTATGAACGGCTCACGTATTTGTAAAATCTAAGTGACTCGTACAACATGGAATTCATATAAAACAGAATAATCAACAGTGTTATAGGGGGGGTCGACTGGTATATGTATTAATGAGAAGAGGAGTATGAGTAAGTAGAGGCGAGGTTTTAAAATAGAAAGTGTTGCGTGTAATGAAGCTGGGAGACAAATTCAAAACGAAAACTTTTTAGAAGAGATTATTTTTTTATTTTTTAAAAGCTACATTGACTGATCTAATGTGATAATTAATCTTCTCTTATCTTCTCTTTAGTATAATTTTTATTAAAATAGCTTATTATACAATATAGATTGAATTATAAGGTATTTTAAAATTCATCTTTAAAATATTAAAGTAGAATATTTAATAGTAATTTTATTTTTTTAAAGTTAATTTCGGAATTTTTCCTTTTAATCTATAGGAAAAGTAAACAAATAGAGTTTCCAGTAAATCGAAAACAGCAATTAAAGATATTCCCAACCAAATTCCCACGTAACCTCCAATGTATCCAAATACTTCAATTACCTATAATAATAATATAAAAAAGATAATCTCAAATGATATATTCAAAAATTAAATATTTTAAATCGAAATAAATATAAACTTACTTGAAATTGTGGCTTATATTTATATATTAAAATTTCGGGACTTTTTAGAAAAAAACTCAGAAGTGAATGCTTAATTCTAATGAATAAAAAAAATCAATATGTAATTAATAATAAATAAATTAAATTTTATTTTAAAATTAAATCAAATTTGCCTGTTTCCATGTTTCCTAACTGATTCGGGATTCTTTAAAACGTCGGTACACTAAAAATAAATATAAAATATTCAATACAAATTATGTTTTTTTTTTAACTTTTTTAAATTGTTTATATTATAAAATCTAGACTTACATTGTTGCATTCTATGGGCGATTCATCCACGCTATATCGAAAAATGTAATATCTGAAATTCATTTAATACGTTTAAGTTACATATAATGAGTTTAAGTACATCTCTACTGTCTGAAATCATTTTAAAAAATATCTGACCTGCAGTTTATACGGCACTTTTGGTAGCAATCTTCATTATTTAAGTTTCTAACACATTGTAGAGAATCTGTGATGAAAAATAAACTTAATTATAAAAGGTAATAACGAGTAAAGTCGGACTCTATTTGAGATATCCAAGTCCCCTTTATCTCCTCACCCCCTCGATCTTTAACCACCAAAATTTAGTAGTATCAATCACCCTAATAAACAAATCTTCCTGCAAAATTTCAGAAATTTTCGACAAAAAGCACAGGAATTATTAAGCTTCAAATAGAGTTAACAAGATCATTCCTCCCCCTCATATACAAGTAAGAGAATAATTTTTAAATAATAGAAAAAATATAAATAAGCATCTTACCGAAATCATCACAGAATTTTCCTTCGAATCGAAATGGATATTCTTCACCAACACAGCCACACTTTTTTATCCAATTTATTTTACTACATTCAATTAAGCAGCGCTAAATATTTTAAATTAAAAACTATCGGTCTAATGATTAATAATTTTTAGTTTAATTTGGTTTAATTTTATATTTATACAGAAATAAATATACTCACATCTCGACTATATAGTATGTGTCTTGTTTTACCGTGACTTCGATCATACATTTTACAATTTGTTCTATAAGGAGCGGGCAACAGATTGTGTTCAATCTGAAATAATATTATTTGTAAATACTATATTTTATCAAATAATATTATATAATTTATTTTTCACTTACAATTCTCAATTGAATTCCGTATTTCCTACCGGGTCTAATAAGCACACCATTGATAAAAGGATTAATTAATTGAGTCCTCGAGTGAACTGATAATCTGGCACCGATAGGAATGGTTGGGTAGAATGTTTCTTCGGGATTAAATGTAACATTCATCTCCACAAATATATTGGATTCTGTTACTGAACAAAATGTCATTATTATTATTTTATAAAGTACACTAAAAGGGGTAGAGATTTCCAACAATTCCGATTCTTGAAGGAGAATTGCATTATCCACCACTTACTCCACAATGCAGTTCTAGCTTGGGTATGTACTGTGCAGTATTTGATAAATTATAAAATAAATTTTTATTAAAAAAAAAAACAAGAAATTGCATACCAAGTCTTTTCGAATAATGAATATAATTTTCCTTTGCGAATTCGTTAGAGTAAACTTTTGACAAATCAACCGTATAACATTTTCTAATCTCTATTCCATCATTTGCTAAAATGACACGATTAGAGAAATTTCTGTAAAAACAATACAAAAACCTGTTTAACAATTTATCTTATTTAAGTTTAAAATCATATATATATATTACCTATAAGGATTTAGCATATCTTCCACTTCATCTCCATATTTTTCTATGAGAGTTCGATTGTGAGAAGTATAATAATAATAATGCGGTAGTGGAAACTACAGTATTGTTATTATATTATTTTAAGTATTTAATAAATTAAATTGGAAATAATTTAATTTATAGATATTTAAAATCTTACTAATAAATCTTCATTATTATAATTTTCTTTTTGACAAAAATGATTAAAGTGCTGGCAGAAGTTCCTTATGTTTTTAGGCCTTTCACAATTATCAGGAAAATCTTTACAGTACATTGTTCTTCGTACCCTGTACATCAAAATGTAATGAAAATTTAATTTCAGGTAATAACATTTTAAACAAAATGAAATAAATATTAAAAAATTAAACGTACTCGTTTAGATTACAAATAGTAACCATTGGTTTTGGGAGATTCTTTATACTTTTATATTTCACTAAAATTTCTAAACTCGTTGGATATGTGAAATAAAAAGAAAGGAACGATCCCAACTGATAGAGGAAACCAATTAAACAAGCAACGAAGACAAATAATTTGAATATTCTTCGTTTATTATTGCTCTCCGTAACTATCTGAGGAATTCCGGTCATCAATACTTTTCCTAATAAATGGACCAAATATACACGTTTCTCTTCGTTAGTTGGTTTTAAAGTATATTTATTTCCTTCCGATTTCACCTAAAAACGATCGCATTTATTATAATAAATAAAGTTAAAGATTTGCCAAATTTTTTTAAAAATATAACTTAAAATTAAATTATAATATATAAAATTACTTATTATAATCAGTACTAAGATGTTTCACAATATTAAGGTTGATGATTATTGATATAAACTTTCAATTAAAAAATTCTGGCGTGAAAGTACACTATCTTTTTATTACTATGAACGTTAGAACAGGGATACAGTATAAAATACAGGGATAAAAAAATTAAATTAAACAATATATTACAGGAAAAAAATTCAGACAAACAAGTTGACAATAAACGTCACGATATCTATTATACGTAATAACAGTTAGGTATGATATCACACAATCGATTAGTAAAAGACTAGTTAAAGAAATACAAAAATTAAGAGAGCAATTGGTCATTTAACATGAACATTTTGAAAAATTTTTAACATATCAAGGAAATTTTGAGATAAATATATGCCAGAAATGTAAACAAATTAATATTATTATTGATTTGTACTAAACGCAACGTATTAATAACGGTATTAATGCTTCAGGCATTCGTTGGTGTTGGTTTGTTAAATTTTTATGTATAAATCAAAAATAGACTAACTACTATAGTAATACTGTCTGAATTTAAGATTTATTCAGCAGAATTTTACATTTGTGGAGTGAGTGATTCAATAAAGAAACTCAAAACATGGGCGATCTGCTGTGGATGGAGTGTTTCTCGGAAGGATTTTCAATAAAAATTGGCCCGTGATTAGTTGTTAGACACGCGAAGAAAACCTAGAAAAATTCCACGTGGACAGCAGTGTTCTGTGGCTTTATTCACTCGTGAGCGCTGTGAGTACCCTTCGTGAATTCCTCGAAAGGTACTTGCTCCGCAAACCTCTGGGACGTAAGCGAAATTGTTATTATGTACTTTAAAAGTTTAATGACATTTGCGTTTAGATAATAGGTTGTTCACCTTTTTTCTTCTCTTTAAGAGTGAAACATATATAAAATTAATTTCAGCTTAAAATTTTTAGATAATGAAAATAAAAATAATTAAATAAAAAGTATACCACTAAAAATTTGAATACTGCCAGACACATAAAAATACTTGAAGAAAACTAGTACGGTTTTCAAAAACAGATAATTCGAAGTTTTGATCACATACGAATGTTTCGAATTCCTCTGGTATTCGAATTAAAAAGGCATAGAATAAGCTTTCGGTTATTATAGAATATAACATAGAAAAACTATAGTAATCGGTCAAATTTTAATTACAGGTCAAAGAGGCTGTGTCGTATATCGAATGAGGTTGGACTTAATAAAAATTTTACTCCTTATCGGCATTTACAATATTTTTAGAAACTCATTTCTACCCTCAAAATTTAGCCGATTTTTTCTTCTAAAGTAATTAATAATATAAAAGTTATTTTTCTGTATTAATTAACAATGTATTCTTTTTAATGTTTATTTGTTTAAAAATAGCGACTAAAATTATCCCACGCGTAATTCAAATCTTTTTCATAGTAAAATAAAAGAGCTTAAACCATTTTTCCTTTATAAATTTTCCAACAATTTAACTTTTAGAAATTAAACAATTCAACGCTTTAGTCATTTTTCTATAATAATTTCAATGTGAATAACTCGAATTTCTTATTTCAAATATTAAAATACTATAATAAAATAAGTGAAAATCAATTTTACTTGAGTAAGATGTCTATCGCTATTCACAAAACTGATGCTGCGGTCCCCATGTAACCTATTTTCTTGAGTATGGTTCATTTTGACCTAATGTAAATAAATAAATAATATATAATTGAAATTTCTTTCGTGAATAAATGTATAACTTTTATTACTAATACTATATTATATATTAATAATGAGAATAAATAAAAAAATTAAATAATCACAATAAATCTCCTTCTAAAGTAAGCAAATATACATACCTTGTCAGTATTTTACAAGAAATAAATAATATCAAATGCCAATGTTATATAGTTGTATACGAAGTGGATATAGGGACAAATGAGTCTAGTAGTGAATGAAATGAAAACAAAAGACCGGCCATAATATAGCGAATTAAAAAATTATCAGCGTAAAATACGTAAATGATCATTGGGAATTAAATTAATTAAATAAAGTATTTTTATTTATCAAGAGAAAAGATAAAAGTAATATAGTAAAATGCTTTTAATATTAAACTATAAATTATTCATCCCAGTATTAAAATTTATTAACTCTGAATATTTAAAATTTATTTATTTATTTTTTCTCACAATTATCATTATCTCAGTAGAGAAATTTCATTAAATAATTTATTTATTTATAAAAAGAAGGGAGGTGTGTCTTAGTTTGTTTACAGTAGATATTACGATAAATAAGTTTACGATAAATAGACTATAGATGGTTGTTTTCTATGCTAAAGAAATATCTTTTAACAAATCTGAAAAAAAGGGGTTTCTATGAAATTCATTATGAAGGCTCAACATGATTTATTTCAGATTCTATTTGGCAAAACATTCTGTCTTCAATGATTAATCGAGAATTGGTGTTGGTGCCGAAATGAAAAAACTTCGTGTGGATTACTTTTAGCCAAACTGATTATGGAAATTGAATAATCCGTTTCTTGCAAACATTAATTCTTTCGTGAATAATATACGTACTGTACAAAGTATTTTCCACGCATTTTACAAAAATTACTGGAAGTGCGGTAATCTAGATGGAAAATCGTCAGAGGCTTCATAATAAAGAAAAAAAGTACGTTTCTGCCGAGTTCCCATTTGCACGATCATAAAAATGAATGTCTGCCAACACCTCAAAACTAAAATTATTTACCATTTTCAATCGTATAAACACAAAAATAAAGCGCTTCTGCAATGCAGTGACGAAAACGTTTCGTGGAACTTTTGGAACTTTTTGAACTTTTGAGGATTGTGCATAAAGGAACTTTTGAGCANACGTTGTTCGGATAATTATATTATAATTATATACGTAAATATATATATATATGCAAATGATTAAATTATTAATACAAATTAAGATATTAAGAATTATCCTCGTATTGGAATTATTTTGATTTGCAAAAAAGAATCAACAGCAATGTCCATTTTGAAGTATTCTAAAAGTTATATTATAGACTATTGGCCTTGCCCTAACCGTTTGATACGATATGATATTTTTTAAAATATATGAAATACGTAGAATGTTTCTTAACGAAAACAGTCTTAAAATTCTTTCTGTTAGTAAAAATAACTAATTTTATTGGGATAGGAACCAGTATGAATCCCTAAGATTTCTCTGGACCCAAAAAAAACCCTAGCATTCCTTTCGACGGCCCTACATATAAGGTTATTTATATCTTCTAACGTTTCAGATGTCGGTATTTTGATAATTGTATTTATAATTGTTTAAATATTTGAAAACTTAAGTTTGTCCTTTAAGTTTTAAAAAGCGGGGTTTTTTCTTTTTTAATCCTGCTATTACTATATTAAATTGCCAAAGAGACTAATGACATTTTATACTTCCTGTATATTATTCTAGATTATAAGGTAGGAAACATATACAGGCCTATCTTGTTTTTTTCTAAACAACAGCTAACGTACAGTACATTTTTAATAACAACATTCTTTATTAGTCTGATAAATTAGTAATAAAATAACAGAATATAAATACAGCCTATATTTAGTTCATTAATGTTTTCAACTGAATAGATTAAATTAATTCGATTCCACATTAATGTAACTTCATTTGCTTAATTTTAATTTAACTTAACTTTAATTACACATAATTTATTTAACCTTAATTCCTTAACATTAATAATAGCAATAGCTACAAGGAAGAGAAGATTATTTAATTAAATATAACTAGGATTTTAAAGAAATTAGCTTGAATTTGTCACAAGATGACTCATTATTCTTTAAAATCTAACCAGTTAATTGAATGTTATTTAACAACGAATGAATTAAAATATACTATAAACATTATAAGGAGTTATATTTTGAAAATGGAAACAATATGAACTAAATATTAGGATAATAAAATAAATATTTACCATTAAATCTTCTTCTGTAATATTTTTTGAAATGAAAATCTGATCGAAATGTTTACAAAAATCTTCTCTGTCTTCTACCTTTGTACATTTGTTTGGAAAAGCGTGACAAAAATTTTTACGTCGAATTCTTTAAACAAATTTTATAATATTATATTCAATTAATACAGTTATTTATAATTATTAAATTAATGTAAAATAATTTCTTAAATACTAAATACTTACGAATTAACATCGCAAATGGTTATTGTTGGTTTCGGAAGTTGATTGATGTTTTTATGCTCGATGAAAATCTCCATAGTTGTTGGATATGTGAAATAAATAAGAAAAAACTGAGTTAATTGAATAATAAAACCAAATACGCAAGTAAAAAATATTACGATTTTAAAAATTTGCCTTATAAAAATTGTTCTGTAGCAATTTGAGGAATTCCTGTCATTATTGCATTTTTAAGAAGTTCTTTAAGATACAAATTCTGTTCTTTTTCTGTCGGATCTTTTACCCTTTCTATATTATTATCTGCCATGTCTGCTGGAGTAAATTATGCAAAGTAATACCAAGAGTAAAGTACAAGTCGACCCCCTTATAACACTGTTGATTATTCTGTTTTATATGAATTCCATGTTGTACGAGTCACTTAGATTTTACAAATACGTGTGCTGGGCTATGAACGGCTCACGTATTTGTAAAATCTAAGTGACTCGTACAACATGTAATTCATATAAAACAGAATAATCAACAGTGTTATAAGGGGGTCGACTTGTACTTTACTCTTGGTATTACTTTGCATAATTTACTCCAGCAGACATGGCAGATAATAATATAGAAAGGGTAAAAGATCCGACAGAAAAAGAACAGAATTTGTATCTTAAAGAACTTCTTAAAAATGCAATAATGACAGGAATTCCTCAAATTGCTACAGAACAATTTTTATAAGGCAAATTTTTAAAATCGTAATATTTTTTACTTGCGTATTTGGTTTTATTATTCAATTAACTCAGTTTTTTCTTATTTATTTCACATATCCAACAACTATGGAGATTTTCATCGAGCATAAAAACATCAATCAACTTCCGAAACCAACAATAACCATTTGCGATGTTAATTCGTAAGTATTTAGTATTTAAGAAATTATTTTACATTAATTTAATAATTATAAATAACTGTATTAATTGAATATAATATTATAAAATTTGTTTAAAGAATTCGACGTAAAAATTTTTGTCACGCTTTTCCAAACAAATGTACAAAGGTAGTCCAGAAACAAATGAATCGTTCTGT